CCTATCCTATCCTATCCTATCCTATCCTATCCTATCCTATCCTATCCTATCCTATCCTATCCTATCCTATCCTATTTTCTATTCCATTCCATATCCCTTTCTATCCTGTCCTATTTTCTATTCCATTCCATATCCCTTTCTATCCTATCCTATCCTATCCTATTTTCTATTCCATTCCTTGCTTTTGAATCTCATGATAAACAAGCCAGCAGTAAAAAAACAGCCTCATCAAGAACCACCAAGAACGGTCCCCACCAACGTTGACAGGATTAGCCACCAATATATAAAAAGAGAACCAACCCCACTCCCTTCTAGCACTGATGATGTTACCTAGTTGGGTAATGAAACATCTGCAACAAAAGAAATCAAGCTCAGAGAGCACCAAGGACCCCACATCCCACCCCATCGAGTAGAAAGAACTGGCAAAACCACTGTAATGTCCAATACCTTGTTATCTTCTCGTCTGCGAGACTTATAGAGCTGTCCGATGCTGGATTGTCCTCTTCAAATGCCACACTTGGGGGCGGCGACGGGAATTCTTCTAGGTTGTCAACGGGACTCTCCGGAAGCGGTGGATAGTCTGATAGAGCACCCATATGATGAGTCTGGGCTTCTTGGAGGAAGACGTCATCGTCATCCTCCTCTCGACAGAACGGTGGTGGGGAGATCTGAGGGTAGGTTTCGGAGATGCGCAGTGAGAACCTTCCTTGACCAGAGAGAGATTCTGGCTCCGAGAAGGAACTATTCTTCGAGGGGATCCCGTGCCACTGTTGGAAAACCTTCTGGCCGGTTGTTTGAGCAGAAGCGGAGCTCTTTGGAAGGTGGTTCTCTCTGGCCCATTTCATTTTAGCCGGGTGTTGTTGCCTTTGAGATGAAGTAGACTTGGACCTCCACACTGTTGTTTCTTCTGCTGGCTCCTTGCTTGGCTGATGGACACTTTCCAGGATCTGGCTCTGAGCTTTGCTGTGCTCTTCCTTGTCAGCTCTGGGCGGCCACCTCGTCACCGCGTTGTCCCCGGCAGCGGGAAAGTCGGAAAGAGTCGGGGTGGAGAATGCCGGACTACGGGAGGAATAGCTGGTTTTGGAAGGAGCCACCCGCCTGAAGCCTTGCTTGGCATCGGAATGCTTCTCCTTCGTATCCGGGCAAGGGGAGACGAAGGCCGATGTCCGGCTGTGATGTCGGAGAATATCAGGGACCTTCTGCCTCTCTGCGGCGGGCGCCGTGCTACCCACATTCTCACTGCTGTGATGAGGACGGTATTGCGTGAATGCCGATTTCTCGAGGTGACCTCGTTTGCTATTGCCGAATGACCTAGGAGAGAGCAAGGAAACAAGAGTTTTCTCAAAGGGAAATAAATTAAAAAAGAGGGGAGGGGGGAAAAAGCATTCCGACCCACCCCCTCCACCCTCCCCCAATTCAGGCAGGAATAATTTTGTAGAAATAACCATGGAGGTGACTTATCATAAGGGAAGTTAGTAGACCAAAGTCTGCCTGGTAGTGTTGCGGCCCGCCAGCGAAGCTGCAGGCAGATTCGGACAGTGAGGAGGTTGGGGAGGAACATGGGTCAGGTCCTGGAGTCTGGGGGAGGCTCGGATGAGGGTTAGGGTTAGATCTTCCATCTGGGACTTTACTCCAAAGTCAACCCTGATTTCTGAGATGTTCTTCTGGCAGCTCTGCGTATGCGCACACTGGGAACAGGCTCCAGCTGTTCCTCTG